TATGAAAATGCACAAATACCACCTCTTAATTGTTTTAATATCTTTATTTTTTTTTAAGGAATTGTAAGGTTTAGAGTATTGATTGGACAAAACAAGTATTGTGATGGTGCCATGTTGGGCTCTGGGCAATTCTGTTCAAATCAGTTTTACAAACCAAACAATCAACTGATTAATGGGGGAAAAAATAGTCAGCAGATTAATCCATAATGAAAATAATCATTAGTTACAGTCCTATACAAAATAGCTCCACTTCAATCAACTACAACAGTAAAATCCTGTTTTTATATTCGTGCGTGAGTAATAATAATCTAATATATATATATAGTATAACAGTCACAGGAGGCATTGTTCTGCATTTATACTAGTACAATACAATTATATTTGATTATATTTACTTAAATGACATTTTCCATGCTTGCCTTTTACTTGTGACATTTATTTGTACAGTTTGGTTGTAGTACTTGCACTTAAATTTCCATTACTGTATAATCTAAAATAGAAAAACAGAATTGTCCTGTTTTTGTTAACTTTGAATGAGACATTTATCTACAGGGTCCTACAGAGTATTTTATCTACGGGTCCTCATCCACAGAGGCTGCCATGTTGTACCACCATGTTTCTACAGTAGCCCAGAAAGGACAAACCACACACTGACTCTAGATACCAATTGGTAGGAGAGCAGTTATTCAGTTAGATGCCACTAGATGCCACTAAATATTTCACACTGGTCCTTTCAGTAAATGACCTGAATTAGTTCCTCCACCACTAATGATGGATTAGCTCTTGATCAGCTTTATTTGTTGAATACAATACAGAAGAATTCAACAGGCCTAAAAAATAGTAAGAATACAAACCAGATATGTAACCCAAATTTCACCAAAGAAAGAGAAATGATGAACTGCATGCTCTCCGTGGATGCAACGCCAATTAAGGCTTTTACAATAAATGGCACAAGGGGGTGACAAACTACCTTTAATTATACCAACACAAATTCACTACGTTTTCACTGGTAAACAGTGGTGGAAGAAGTACTCAAATCTTTTAGTAAAAGTTGCAATACCCTCTGTATATGTAGATAGATACATAGTACTGTTGTTAACTGAGCTTTGTTTGTGACCAGGCAAGTGTATCTAACTGTCGTGAAATTATGAATGAGTTCATCCTAACCCTAATGCTTTGGAAATCTCCCCCATCCAGAAAACAAAATTAATCCCTAAACGGTTTTGTTGTATGAGCCAGCAGGTCTTTATGACGCTGAGATGACATGACTGCATCACATTAAGAGGCATAAAGCCTCATGCAATTAGGGGCATAATGATTTCAGACCCAGTCATCAGCAGAAATAATCATTAGACAGAAGGCTTTGGACAAAGAGAATATGAATCGTGTAATGTGATGGTGATGAATTTATGTTTTGTAGGATGTGGCATCATATCACAGGTTTTAAACATTTAGGCCTAATGCTTGGAAAAGCACGCTCAAAGACACTATTTAATATTATTTTGTTGAAAGTTGAGTATGGCTGTCTTACCTTTATTGTTTTGAAATGTATTTCTGTACGCTGAAATTCCTTTAATTCATTGAAATTAGCATTTGATTGGGTCTATTTATGCGTTGGTGCCGGTATTGTCTGGGTCACGCCCTCATATGTGCAGTTTCGTCATACGCCACTGGATGGTAAACTCGAGTAAAAGTCCCAGTTTACTCCAAGAGCATCATTCACTGATGAGTACAGTGAGCACTGCATAATGAAACCGGAAATTGAGGTTTCAGCCTTCAAATTAAGAGCTTTTTTCTTTCCTCTTTTTGTTTTTTTATCAATATAAACCATTGTGGCTGCCAAAAATCATGTTTAATGTGCATGGACCTACTAATATGGAGAGGTATTGCTGAAAGATAAACATATTTCTGATATAGTGGTGCTCAAAAAATGCTATATTATGTGGACATGGATAATTGAGTTGAGACTCCATAAAACACATTATAGGCTACAAAATATGCAATATGATAAAAAAAACACAGTGAATGTGGTCACAGATACACATCACATGTGTAAAAGCATTATAAATACCATATAAACTAATCCAACCACAAATTACAAAATCAAAACAAATTCAAATAAATCCAGGAATAAAATATCATTCTATTGAAGAGGAATTGGCATATAACTAGTTTAGATTTCTGTGAGATGTGGATTGTGAGATTCCATTCTCGAGAATATAAATATTTCAGTGTGGCAGCATGTAATCCATTTTTATTTAATGTCATAGGATTTATTCATAGATATACTAAACATGCCAATCCAAGAGGAAATATGTTAAAGTGACATGTATTTCTTTTATAAAGATGTTAAAAGACAGACATAAAACCACAAAATAGAATCTTAAAACCAAAACTATGTCAGTGCAAACTACACTGCTAAACAAACAGCCACATCCAAATACATCATTAACAGATTATTTGCTCAAGTAAAAGTCCCTCTCATTTTTATTTGGGGTTGTCTTAATCAATTTGCAGACTGACGGAAAGTTTATCGGCACCTATTTTAATACTTGAATGATTGTTGAAGTCATCTATGTAGGAAAAATTCTAAATATTTGCTGGTTACAGCTTGTTAAATGTAATGATTTGACAGTTCTTCTTTTTTGTTTTCTATCACTGTAAATTGAATATCTTTGGATTTGGGATTGTTGGTCGGATCAAACAAGCTATTTAGAGAACTGAACCTGGGCTCTAGGAAACTGTAATGGGCTTCTTTTTTTTTCTTTTCAGAAATTCCAACATTTTATTCACTAAATAATCAATAGATGAATCAAACAAATATGAGAGATTAATTGCTGTTAATTGTTTTTGTAATCGTTTCATAGGGGGTCGCAGGGCCTTCTTAATTTTAAGGGGTGCAAGAAAATCTTTTTCTAACTGAGACTTATATATTCACAGGAAAATATCTGCTCAAAATGTATCCAAATCTCGTATTTTACCTAAACTTCCTTGAGTTATTGTTGGTTGTTCTGTAATGTATAATTATATATATATATATATATATATATATATATATATATAATAAAATATGTC